CAGGCTTTTCACTGAAGTTCAGCTGTTAAAAACTTAAACCTGTTTCATCTTTCTCCAGGGTGTTTTCTTGTATTCTCTGTCTGGCAGGATGGTTCTCCCAGTGGCCAAAACCATCATGCCCTCAGCTCGCTCTCTTTGGCAAAATTCTTCTTCCCTCAGTCTGGCATTGCAAAGGGCTGCTGAGAGGCATCATGTTCTCTCCTGGGAGCCTTCATTTTTCCCCTCCTTCCCTTGAAGCATCTGCTGCTATCCAGGAAGATGAGAGGACTTGGGCAGAGAACACGGAGTAGAATATTTCAGATGGAAGTGTCCTACAGTGACCAGCAGGCACTTTGGTCTCCTGCACTTCAGGAAGGTTTTTTGGCAAACCCATCTCAGTGCCACCTTTACCTGTCCCTGCCAGGTGAGGACTTGCCTCTTCCACTCTCCTGAGGCTCCTGTCCAGCAAGGACATTTCTCCCTCAGCTCTGAGATTCGGTGTGTTGATCCTGACAGAGCTCTCCTTGTTTAAGGGTCAAGTTGAGTAGCCCAGGTGTGTCACACCTCTAAACGTGGAGCTCTGCCGGCTTCTCTCCTAAAAGTTGCTCTACCGACAGAGTTATTCCACCTCCTCCTCCGTTATGATGATCGTTCTGGAAGGGGATGGAAAACAGCAGGATTCTGTACGGTTGAATGAGAAAACTGACATAAGGCGATGTGTACCAGAGCTAATCTATAATTCATCACCATCATTCAGGGCTTTTAGAAAGCGGAGGAGAGCGAGGCGAGGGAGCCCTGAGAAAGGGTACGAAGGCCCTGCACGTGGCTGCAGCCAGCGAGGGCTGTCACTTCCGATGAGCACGGGCGGGCGGTGCCAGGCCACCAGGGAGAGCCGGGCCCCGGTACCTGCTGCTGAGGAGGGGCTGCCTTTGCAGATGACTAGAAGCAACTACGGTACTGACATCTCATTATTTCCAGCTTTGTTGCTCGCTTTTCCGGTCGCTGCTAATGTACCAGGCCCAAATTCCTTTGTGTGTTACCGCCTCGGGGGCCTCTGGCAGCTCCTGCTTCTGGGGGAGCATGTCCAGTAGAGCCGAGTGCTGGTTTAGGCTGGCAAGGCTAACGAGGAACAGCCATCTGGGAGAGGAGGGCTCGGATCCCAGTCTGCTGGTGCTGGCTTTCTACTGCTGGCAAAGTCAGGGATATGGCAAACCAGGTGGTTTGTGACTCGATCTCCTCCGGGGGGAGAGAGAGGGCCTGCTTTGGCACTGCTGCTCAGGTCTGTCATTCCAGCTCGTGGATGCGCTCCTGACTGTGTCGGTGTTGTCAGCCCTGCGCAGGCTCTCTGGACACATCTCCAAGGAAGATTGGCAGCTCCCCAGAAGAGAGGGCTTGCCTGGACACAGCAGGGCTCCCGACAGGAAGGCGGCCTCTCCGTCATGCTGGTATTGCATAGCTTTAGCTGTTCTCTTCCCAAATGAGTTCTCTTCCCCTCCCCCAGCAAGGGAAGCTGTTGGCTCTCTGCTCAGCACCAGGGAGGTCACACCTGGACACTGTGTCCAGTTTAGGCCTTTCCCTCTATTCAATCCCTACTCCATACCCAGGGATGCTGGGAAGGGTCTGGTTGGAGCTCTCAGGCTGGCCAGGGCTGGGGGCAGAGGGCCTGGGAGGAGGAGTGGGGAGCTGGGGCAGCCTGATGTGGTGAGGAGATGGCTGGGGGTGTATCCAATCACAGATAAAGTGATGTGCAAGGGGCAGTGAGGAGGATGATGTGGTCAGACTCTTTTGGCAGCCATGGCAGGTGACATAATAGGGAAATGTGGGAAGTTTGGCTTGGATATTAGGAAAAAAACAGCTGGTGGGGAGATGTCTCCTGCCACAGAGGGAGGCTTCAAGCATCTCTCAGACAAGACCAGGCTGCCCAGGTCTCTTACTGGCAGCAGTTGTGTAGCGAGAGGGAGGTTGAATCAGAGACCACCTGCAGCTCCTTTTACCCACATACTCCTGCGGGTCTGAACCCTTGTTCCTTTGGTACTTCCCAGCATCCTGTAAGAGCAGTTCTTCTTGTGTCTCTCTGGCTTGCTTTCTGCTGCTTTGGCTTGCAGGGTTACTCAACAGCTCAGGAAAAACAGCCATGACTCTGAAAACCCGTCAGTGCTTCTGTGGCTGGGAACCACGTGTCAGGCTGCACCGGCCTCGTGGGTTGGACATTGTGCAGAGTGCAAGCACAGCAGGGGGAAAGGATGGTTAAGGCAGGAAGTTGTCCTGCCATTAAGTTAATTTTTTGACTATACCTGCACTTCTGGGCTTGCATCCAAGGCCCGAAGTACTTGTGCGGTTTCTTCCTGCCTCCATCACTTTGGATGTGTTCCTTATTCCCTCCTGAGCTGGTTATTAATTATGGAGACTGCAGAGATGAAGTCCAGACTCTGCTAATGGTTGACTTCCCCGGGTTTTAGAAGGAGCATTTCAGTGACCTGCTAATGGTATTTTTTAGCTTTTCTTTTTTAAGCTCCACCATCCTTTTGATTTCTACTCTGAGCGAGGCAGGTAACAGTGTTCAGGTATTGGCTGGCTCTCTGGGCAGATCCCATCTGCAGCACCCCCGCTCATCTCCCTGGGTTAAAACGTCCTCCTTTTCATGCTGGCAGGGAGCACAGAGTACCCTTGCCTGGCAGCATTCAGGCAGTGCAGTGACCCTTGCTGGGTGACGCCTCTCCGTTTCCCCAAGCTTTAGGAATCAGGAGCAAATCCATGCTGAGCACTGTGCCAGGCCCCAGCGATCCTCACAAAGCCACCCACCCCTTTGCTCCTGGCCACCAGCTTCCCTCTCTGCCTGGCCAAACCCCAATGCTATCTCATCTTTTCTCTCCCGGCCTTGTTATTCCTTCTCCCCCTCTCCCGAGGAGGCCCAAGGAGCGGACGCTGGGCTTGCTCCTCCTCCCTGCCCCATCCAGGCTGCGGGTGCTGCTGGTCTCGGCGCCGGCTCTGTCTGCCCTTTGCTCTCCCTGGCCCAGCTGGCCTGCCTCCATTCCCATGGCAGGATCCCCTGGTCCCTGTCGCTGCTGCCAGGCTGCCTTCACTGCTGCCTGGCCCCCCCAGTCCTCTGGGAGCTACAGCTCTCCTCCTGTCTTGTTCCTGTTTCTCCACTGCTCTGATGTGGGCAATTAGCCCTGTGTTTTACTTTGTAGATCCTGCCAGGCTCTTCCCTGCCTTCCCTGCTGCTTCCAGCCTGCTTCTGGTCAGCAAACCTCTGTGCAGGGATGCACAGGAAGGAGCTGCCTGCATCCCCTCCTCCCCGAGCTTAGGCTTGGTGTTAGGGGAACGGGGAGGGAAAGACTTGGGAAAGTGGAAACAATGAGAGTGCAAAATCTTCTCGGTTTGGTTTTTCCAGCTCTGCGTGTTCATATCCCCCGGGACATATCCCTGGTATCAGATGGCAGCACTGGCCTGGGAGTCCCTGATCCCGTTTTGCAATCCCCCAGTCTCAGCCAGCAGCTCAGGCCTTCCTGTAAGTGCCCCGATGGTCACGGGGAAGGAATGTTCCCCCGGCCACATGGGGAAAGGTCACCACGGGCAAAGGGGACGCTGGGACTGGGCCGATGAGGGCAGCGCCGATCAGACCGGAGCCAAAAACATTCTGGCTTACAGGGGAAATGGGAAAAGAAAAAAAACATTTCAAGAGGTTAAATATTTTGGGCAAGGCCCCGCTTCCTTTCACAGGGCACATCTCGGAGCAGATGCAGTGCCCAGGAGGACGTGTGTGCGTGTGTTTCATCGCTCTCTTAACTGGAGGATGTTTCCTGCTGAATCTGTTCCCAAAAACATCTGTGTGTCCGCCTGGGACAGAGGTTTGGGCCAGTTACTGCTGCTCGGAGCAGCCCTTGGGCTGAGCAGCATGTTGTGGCTCCCTTCCCTTCCTACCCTGTGCCTGCCAACAAACCTCTCCCCTGGATGCAACTCGGAAGGAAAGCTGTGACTCGTGGTGGCGGTAGCCGCAGCGGGATTAACATCCAATATTAAGGGCTTAACTCATCCCTGCCAGCCAGGGGTTCCAAATAACTGCCATGCCTTGTGCCTTTTTTTTCCACCCTGGAGTTTGTAGCTGCCTCGGCTAAGCTGGAGCTTGCTCCTGGCACTTTGTTTTGAGAGCCTGGCCTGTTGGCTGAGGCTCCTGGGAACTCTGGTCACATTTATTGGGGTGGGGGCGGAGCGGAGAAAGGAGGAGGAATTTCTAGGTTGGGCTTATGAACCCGAGTTTTTCAAAATTCCCAGCGTGTTAAAAAAAATACAAAGCTAATCTGGCCCTTCGTCTCTAGGTTACGTTTGCCTCGGCCGGGGCTGAGCTCATGGAAAATTGCAGCTTAGCTCCTGTGCTCCCTGCCAAGATTAGTAGGTTTAAAAACTAACTGATAACATCTTTGTAAACTTGGAGTCATTTCTCTAAAGCCTGCTGATCCTTCCAGCCTGGATTTTGGAGCTTTCCTAGAGATCCAAGAGAGCCAAGCAGGACGATGGTATCTGCCCCAGAGTGTCTTCAAATACCCTGAGGGAGCAAGGAGGCTGCTGTTCCCTGAAGGGTGTATTGGGATCCCTCTCCCTGCTCCTAACCAGACACACGGCACACAACCACGCTCTGCACGTAACTTATAATAATCACCGGTTTTATTATTAAAAAATTACAATAGAAAAGTACCTTTAAACATATTTCCAAAAGCGGAGTAGACAATGTGGAAGCTTCTCTCCTCTCCACGAGACAAAGTACAGGAAATAGTTTGCTAAAAGAGTTAGTCCCTCGCTTGGGAACGCCGGTATCGTTCCTTTTAGAGCCACTCTGAGGTTTGTTTTGATTTGATTTCTTCTCACATCAGTCCCATTTTTTACAGTCCCATTTTTTACAAAAAATGGACTACAGTCCCATTTTTTACAAAAAATGGACTACAGTCCCATTTTTTACAAAAAATGGACTACAGTCCCATTTTTTACAAAAAATGGACATCAGTCCCATTTTTTACAAAAAATGGACATCAGTCCCATTTTTTACAGAAGACTCCAACGGGACAGTTGCCCAGCACGAAAAATCCCATTTTCTCATCCCCCTGCCCCACCCTGACAGCCAAAATCTCAACTGTCTTTATTTTGGCCCACCCACAGGACGAGAGGAAGGAGGAAGGAAAAGGTGATGATGCTGAATGAGGCCATGGACAGCTGGGAAACCAGCTACAGTGAGGCCTGGGCAGTGGCTGAGCTCACTGTTCCTTGCAGCTGGAATGAGGACAGGGGAAGGAAATGGAAGGAGGAGCTTTGCACCTCCCTTTGCAAGAAACCGAGACCTGATATGAGGTTTTGGGTTGGTTTGCTCTGTTCATTTCTTTCTGCAAATTCCTCCTGGAGCAAGGAGAAGGAGCAACTAGTACATCAAGCAGTCTCTTTGCTGGTACACTACCTCCGTAAAGGGTGTTGGCAGCTTCCCTTCTTGTCTTTGCACATGGAAACATGGGAATGCCACGCAGCGAGCGGCCGGACTGGCATAACCTCGGTGCTAAAACCCCAGTCCAGCGCTTCGGCGTAGCAGGAAGAGTTTTTCTCATACAGCAGTTTACGTTGCCTGTAACAGCTTGAAGCAGCCATGGCAGGAGGAAGAGGAAGAAGAGGAGGAGGCAAGTTGTCACCTTGCTACATGTGCGGGCCGTGTGCCCATCCCTGATCCGAGCCGTTGCACCCCGCGGAAGCTTTGCGCAGCAGCTACGAACACAGCCCTAAGGTACAAAAAAACCACCGGAAGAACGTTCCTGATTGTCCTGCCTGGTTGTCATTTGGTACAACTGGGAAGAAGACAGTAATACTGCAGTGTCCACGGACGTCTCGCCGACACGGCTGGAGCACAGTTCCTGTAACCCCCGTGGTGTGTCTCGACATCTGCACACACGTGAACGTCATGCCTTCGACATGCAGCTGACGGGGGGCCGGGGGACAATATAAGACTCTTAATTACACACCTTCCAAAAGTCAAGCACGAAGCCTGTGGTCCAACCCGGTGTAAGATTGTCCTCTTTGAGGAGCTTTGGTACAAAAATACTTGGCTCTCGTTTTAGTCTGCTTTCGTATGGTTCTGTTTGAAAAGTTCAAACACTACAACAATGCCTGTCAAACCATGCTTTCGGGAGCAACACACTCTTCCTTACAAATATACAGTGTAAAAGAGGAAAATATTATTACTAGGTAATGTTTTTCTTCTAGGAGAGCAGATGTGTGATAGAGGCTGTGGGAAAGTCTTGGAGGAATCCAAACTCGTGTGAGGGTTTTTTTTCAAGCCTGTAACAACAGAAAGAGGTGTTAAAAAAAAAAAGGCAGCTGTGATGGAGGAAAAAGGGGCTGTGATTCATCTCTCGTCCTTCATGGGGAAACTGCTGTGCAGCAGCATGGGGGAGAGGGAGGCTTGTTTTGGAAATCTGTGCCTAGTCCTCACTCCAAGGACAGGGAAAGGCAAGGTGGGAAATGGCTGTGCAGAGAGACTGTTGGCATCCCAGGTGTAAAGGACCCCCCTGGTCCCAGTTTGCTCCTCCCAGTGGCTGAAGCCCCTGGGGTTTGAACTGGGAAGCTGAGAGTTAACTTGAATTTTGCACTTTAAGAGGAATTCAGTCTCTGTTGATCCAAGGCAGGAAGCGAGGACGGAGATGAGATTACCGGGGGTAATTCAAAGCTGAGAGGCATTCCTTGGCTGTGGAAACCCTCGCCCCAGATAATAATGACGATAAAGGCGGGAATGGCAGGGCCGTGGTTCCGGCTGGGCAGCAGCGGGAGCAGCGATGCCACCCTGCAGGGATCAACCCCAGGGTCACACCCGCCTCACTGCCTATTCCCTTGGGGACAACACATTGGCTTCCTCACCCTTTAGCCCCCTCCCCAAAGCAGCCAAGCCCACGGGACAGCCGGACGCCATCCCGGCCTTACCAGCACACTGTGGTCCGGCGGAGAGCACGTCACCCCAGTAGCCGCCTTGGAAGACTCCACTAATACCCACAAGACTGACTGTAGGCCACCATCACACACCTGAGACCTGCGGGAGGACACAGCGGAGGGTGAGGGACGCTGGCACGGGGGGCTGAGGTCGCGGTGCTGTGGGGAGAGGTGGTTTCACAGTGGTCAGAGCCGGCACTTCCCAAGGGGGCAGTTTTCACCTTAGCCCTGCCCTGATGGGCTCCAGGCAGCAAGTACAGGACAGGGCCAGGCTGGTAGCAAAACCCTTCCCTGGGCTGTGCCCTTCTCGGGTGGAGGAGCCTGGCAGGGAGCCAGGAGGTCCCCAACCCTGCATCCCCACCACCCACTGTGGCTACTGGTGTTGCTGTGGGCTGGTGGACCTGTTCCAAATGATTCACTCGCCTCCCCTTCCCAAATACGGCTCTGCTTACATTTTATCTGGAAAGTTTGGCACAGTGCATATTTTGGAAGAACCACTGGTTCCCAAAGCCTCGCCGCTCCCTATTTTTATCTGCTGGGCCTAAAATAGCCGGTAAGTTCTTTGTGGATCCAAGTCTGGGTCCAGCTGCAGCTAGGGCTGGGCCTCCTGCCCTCCTGTATGAGTGACCATGGGAGCATGGGCAGCCAATCCCAGAGCTTTGGATGCACTGGGTGTGGAAGCAGGAGGCTTCCCAGCAGGGATCGGCAGTGTGCAGGGATATTCCCAACCGGGATGGTCAGGGTGGGTGGGATCATGGGGTAAAGCAGTGCTCAGCATCCACTGAACCTCTTTCCCCTCTTCCACTTGGGTCCCCTTTGTTTATTTATCCATGAAAGGCCAAGTTATTTGCAGAGCATGTCTTGCAAGGCTTTTTCCATCCAAAGAGGTCCCAGATGGAATCGGATCAGTCCCTCCCTCCAGCCAGGCAGCTTGGTGAGGCTGCACTTCTTATTTTGGCAGCTCTACCACCCCGAGCTGCCAGGAGAGTTTTCATTAAGGTTTAATGAGATAGTTGTGTTGGGGCTCCCTTCTTTTCCATCACTGCACCCCCTCCCCAGCAGGATGCCTTTTCCATCCTGCCCCGGGACATTTGGGAAAGTGTTGGGGGTGAATGGTGGCAGGGACATCCCCTTCCTGGGGGCAAGGAAGGCAACTGGACTTAAGGGTGCCTGCTGGAAAGTGGCCTCACCAATAGTCTGGCTACCCACCCTGAGCTGCTGGAGACCCCAGGAGTTGTGGTGGTGGGGGAAGGCCAGGGTGAGGTTAGAGGTGGATCCCAGCCAGCGCAGGAGGATGGGACCGGGACAGTGGCACTCACCCGGCATTCAGCAGAACTGACGGGACTTCCAGCCCTGAGAACCAGCCTCGGAAGGAGGGAGCCAGCGCATCTGCAGAGGCAAGGGGGACACAGAGTGAGAGGGGGGTAGCCGCCCACCCTGGCAAGATCCAGCTGCTTCTGGGATCCCCTTTCCTGGCCTTCCCCAGGCACAGGGTGGAGGGAGGTCAGAGCACAAGCAGTACAGCCATCCCAGCTCCAACCGGGACAGTAACACTGGGGCCAAGCACAGCCCCCAGCATCCTTGCTTCCAGCAGGATGGAGCTGGGATAGCAGCACCACAATCCCACTGAGCAGGAGTGAGCTCATCCCTCTCAGCTTCTCAAAAGCCCGCTTGAAACAGGGTGGAAAACATCAGACGCCAAAACCCAGCACATGGTGCTCAGTGCCCTGCCAAATAACACCAAGTCAGCCCCCGTCCATCCCGAGGTTCCTGGTCCCGCCGCTCCCTGCAGGATCCAGCCGAGCAGCTCCAGTTTGGACAGTGGCACCCATCTCCAGTGCCCCCCACCAAACCTGCATGGGGAGGGGGGGTGGGAAAGGTGCCACCACCGTGCTTTCCCTTGTGCTGATATTGCACATCAGGTAATATTTCTTCTGTCTAACCTCAGCCTAGGTTTTCCCGAGGGACCCTGGGAGCTTCTGTATGCCTCCGTTTCCCTCGCTGTCGCTTCTCCGAGCAGGGCAGGTGCTGCCTGTTAGCAGTTATTTGACAAGGCGAGTACGTAGCTGCAATAATATTTACTGCTGCTCTTCCTATGAGCAGCAGGGCACAAAAAGCTGGAGTTTCGTCCAAGGTTTGTACGCCGAGCGCTTTTTCACACCCTCCCGCTCAAACCAGCCCCTGGCTGCTCCGGCTCCCAGCAATGGTGGCTCTGGATAACCTGGCTCGATCCTGGTGGGCCAGGGCCAAAAGCCCCTTGGAAGCAGTTTATCCAGCTAATCTGTTTCCATGTGCTCGTTTTCTCCTGCTCATCGCCGAATCGGAGCCAGCAGCAAGGAGCAAAAGCCAGGATGATGTCTGGCGCAGATGCTGGGGAGGCAGCTGCCCATTCCCCCTTCATGGCAGAGGTCTTTTCCCCGCATCCCCACGATGTAAGGCTGGCACTGCAAAGAAATCCTCTTCCTCCTCCATTTCCACTTCTTCTCTTCTTTCCCCAGCTCCTCTCCCAGGCGGATGGTTAATTTTTAACAGCCACGTGCTGCCGTCGGGGGGCCGCCGGCGCTGGCAGCCGGCAGAAAGCACTTGTGACAAGGCAGCACCTCGTCAATAAAAGATGGATCCTCCATTTGCGCTTCGCTTCCCTCTCCTTCTCGTCAGAGCCGCTTGGCTTCACACCCCATGTCCGGCACACCACATCCCAGCAATGCTCCAGGGGCTCTGGAGCCCCCATCTCACACACCATGCCAGCAGCCGGATAGCAACGAGTGACGGGGGTGGTCCAGACCCGGAGAGCATCCCCATCCATCCATCCCTCCCTCCCTTCCCACTTGCCCCACCACGGGCGGCAGCAAAGGTAGGAAGGCAGAGAGAGGTGTTTGGGGAAAGGCAGGATCCCTGCCAGCGCTCAGCTCCATTTGGGAGCCATCCCTAAATCTCAGGGAGCAGGGAGTGAGTGCCTGTTAGCCGGGCAGAGGTTAGTGGTGCGGCGGGCACCGAGGGGGAAGGGGGTCCGGGGAGGGTAGAAGGGTGAGCAGTGGTTGGTGAGGGATGGGTTGGAATTACCTGGGCGTGCAGTGAAGCGGGATAGGTGAAAGCAGGAGGAGGTAGAGCAGGTGCTAATTCCGCTGGGTACAGAGGGTACGGCCCCCACACTTCAGGGCTACTGGGGTAAAGTGCAGGCACTGTGAGCTCATCTGCAAGAGAAGAAGAGGGAGAGTTAAATGGTGACCGCAGGGCCGCCACCCCTGCCACGTCCTTCCTTCTCCCCCCGAAGCAGGAGCAGAGCTTCCCCCAGAGAAGTGCAGGATGTCACCGCCGAGAGCCAACGTGGTACTGGGCTCGTCATCTCCAAAAGGTTTAATGATCCCAGGGATCCAGCAGAGGAGAGAATGTGGCTCAAGCCTGTGCACAACAGCAAGGTGAGGAACCGGTGTCCACGCGAGAAAAGCTCTTCCAGAGGCAGAAACAGGTATGGAGCACTCACGGCAGGACATTGTTGAGACCCCCAGATGTAACGAGGAAACTCCCCGGCACGGAGAAGCAGCACCTTAGGCTTGTCCCACTCCCAGGCACCGTGCCAGGCTGACTATTACCTGTCCTGGGATCCTCTCCTTTTGGGGACTCCTGGCAGCAAGCAGGTGCCACTGCTTCCAACTGGACCTGGCATTCCCCACTGCCACCCCCTCACGGTATCCCTGCTCCTTCCAGCACCCAGCACGACATCACATTCCCTGAATAAGGTGTTTTCCCCGGGATGGGGGCAGCCCCCAGCGCCCGCCACCCCAAACCCTTACTGGCGCCGCAGGCCCCAGTACTCACAGGGCTCCCGGGCGATGAACTGAGGTACGGCGGTGGGGAAAGGGGTGCTGGGGTTTGGGGTGCCCACCAGCTTGCTCTTGGCCATCTTGGTGTTGGCCTTGGCGAACTCCAGCCGCAGCGTCTGGGGGATCTCGGGGTCGAAGCGGATGCCCTGCGGGAGGGGAGGAGGGAGGGGAGGCACGGCGGGTGGGCGAGCGCTGCCGCGTGCCGGCCCCCGCAGCAAAAATAACTCTCTCCCCGTTATTTATGGGGTATTTTTTCAACTTCCAGCCTTGAAATGAGCTAATTTGCCGGGCCCCGAGGCAGCTCACATTCCTCCAGCATCTTTAGCATCGGCACCATATTTGGCAGTCGGCATCCCCGCAAGGCCAAGCTCTTATCCAGAGGGATTAGTGGAGCCAAAGAAAAGAAGTTTTACATTGAAAATGAAGACAGGGAAGAAAAACAACCCTAAACCAAAACCCGGGGAGAACTGGTGAGGAACTGCAGAACCAGCTCCACATGATTCTGCCCCTGACTATTTCCAGGTAACTCCACAGAGGTAGAAGGGAGCTGCTAAAAGTGAGATTTGCTTTTCCTTTTGCAGATTTTGCCGGGATTTTTCCTGCTGAACAAACAGGAGAGGCTGGGAACGGTGTCTCTTGCTTGTATTTGTATCTAAGGCTCAAACCCTGAGAGTTCAAGCCCTCCTGGATGGCCCTGAGAAAGGTGAGAGGGATGCAGCCCCCTGGGAGGGAGGATGTGGATGAGAAATAACAGTGGGATTGTCTGGAGGGATGGGGATGCTATGGGGCGTGGGAGCTGCACATCCCCAGCGTGGAGGAATTGAGGGAGTATCTGGAGACAGGGAAACAAGGAGAAAAATGGGAAAATGGAGCAGCCAGGCTGGGCACACTCACGTTCAGAGCGTTCTTCGCCGCCTCTGCCTCGGAGCGGCTGTCGAAGCTGACGAAGCCCACGGGCTGTGGAGGAAGGAGAAGAGGAGCCTTCAGTCAGGTGGGGAGCAGAGGGGATCCCCCTCACCCCAGGGACTGGTGGTGCCAGGGAATGGTGGGATGATTGCCCCCTTTGGAGCGGCTCCTACCTGCTTGGAGGTGAGTTTGATGAGAGACCCCTCGTACCCCTGCAAGGAAAGGATAAAAAAAGGTGTTCAGTGGAGATCCCCACCATTAAATAATAATAACTGAATAAATTGACTGAATTAGATTTGGTGGGGGGGGGAACCAGTGGGCTCCCAGATCCCAGTAAGTTGTTTGGGGCTGGGGCAGGGGCCAGCTCCACACTTCCAGCCCCCCTTTCCCTCACCGGTTTGGTACCTTAAAGGGCCTGAAGAGCAGGTAAAGTTCCCGGGGCTTAATGTCCAGAGGCAACCCGCTGACAAAGAGTGTCCTCACCTGGAAAAGAAGAAAGAAGGTTCCTGGGGATACTCTTCATCCCTAACTTGGCTTCCTGCAGCCAGAGGGACAATGCCAGCCCAAAGGGAAGCTCCTGGGCAGCCAAAAGCCTTAAGCCGCAATTGAGTGATGCAGAATTTTTGGGAGGGGTGTCCCCATCCTTCAGGTGACCACGGAGGAAGCTGCTAAGGCACCATGGAAAGGTAACGGAGACCTGTCCTCACCCCACAGAGTGCTCTCTGGGCTGAAAAAGCTTCCAGCATCCCAGCACCTTCCTACCCCGGTCTGGCAAACAGGATCTCTCCAGGCATCCCCAGCGGATCCAGGACTCTGCAGACAATGCCTATTGTCTCAGTTTAATTGCAGCAGCTCATTAAGGACTGGGAGAAGCAAATCCCAGCTCTTCCTCCTGGAGGAATGGCTGGCCCTGGTTTGGAGGGGGCTGGGTTTAAGCAGCTTGTTCCTGGTTTGTAGAAGTCACCTTTTAAGGGGTTTTAACCCTTTTTTGATGGATCTAATGTTTGTGGTGGTGCAGCATCCTCAAAGCTGGTGTGTTTGGCAGAAATCCCGCTCCCACCAACTCCGAGGTGGGATGTGGGGCTCCCCAGGGATAGGCAAGCCCTGTGCTGGGATGGTTTTGCTTTACAACCAGCTCATAAGTGGTGAAGCAGTGTGGGGAACTGGGTCTGCTGCCAGTTCCCCCTCTCCTCATCCACAAAATCTCATCTGAACACTTTGGGCTGGAGGAGGGGAAAACTTTGATTTATTTTATTTTATTTTTTTGGCCACGCACCCTGCCTGCCCCATTCCCGGGGAAAGAGACATGGGAAACTGCCAGAAACAGCCAGCCCAGGCCTATTCTTCTGCTGACATTTCTTCTTTCTCTTGCAGATAAGCTATCTCCCCCATCTCCCAGCCTGGGAGCAGCAAACATTCCTGCTTTGTGGAACAAAACCTCTGGCTGACCTGTATCTGTTAAATAACAAAAGGTACTCGAGCTGTTTGCATATAGCCCTTGTGCCAACAGCCCTGGTGATACCCATCCTGGTACCTGTGTTATCATCATCATCATCATTCCTGCAGGTACCAGCATCCAGGCCCGATGGGATCGGCACAGGGGTGTCCTCACCCGTTCCTGAGCCAGGGCTGCAGGCAGGCACAGCCTGATAGCCTGTCCTCTCTAGTGGAGCCACCCAGGGTGGGCTGGAAGCCCCCCCAAAGCACCTTGGGGGACCTCTGCCAGATTTCTGCTGTCTCCCAAGACCAGAGGCTGATGGAGCATCCCAAGGCATTCAATATTGCTCTGTCTCCCCATGGAGACAGTGCCCAAATTTCTCCCAGCAGGGAGGCAGGAGGAGCTCCCCTTGTGCTCATGAAATTCAATGTAAAGAAAACAAATTTATCCTTTCCTTGGGGAAATAAATATTTCCTTTCAGACAGGTCTGACTAAGCGTGGCTGCTATCCGGGGAATTGGCTCTCCGGATGCATCCACCTTCCCAGCTGGGTTTGTGAGCATCCCTGCGTGGTGTCCCCTGTCTCCATCATCCCTGGAGCAATTCTGGCAAGCTGGCTTCCCATTTCTCCTCTCCCTGGGGAGCTGCATGAAACACCAGGGGTGTCGGCGACAGCTCCGGGTGGGGGGAAACCCACTGCCAGTTTGCAACATCCCTAAAATCCAAATCCTACAAGCCCAAGCCTGGCAGATCATTTATCCCCAAAGCCATGTGGGAGAGAGGCGGGAGAGATAAAAGACCCCGAGGAACCCTCCGAAATTCAGCCCTGCAGAAGAAGGGCTTCTCTTCCTTAATGACTTGTTTTCTTTGGAAGTTCAAACGCGGGTCGGCCAAGTTTGAATCCATAAAATTACACAGCGGCGAGAGGGAGAAGGGCTCCAAAGGATCCCCCAGCTGGTTTCCAGCCCCCAAAAGGCCTGGGAGAGGAGGGAGGGATATGAGCTCGTGGGTGCTCCCCATCTGCACCCCACAAAAGGGGCCTGGGGTGTACCGAGCCACAGGGATGTTTGAGTAGGTCCTATGCAAACAGCATCCTTTTGCTGGGTAACAAACAGGTGGAACTGGCAGAGTAAGGGAGTTTCCTCAGGGATAATCCCAGCAGGCTGGACGGATATCCTTTTGCCAAGGGAAGGATCTTAGCGGAAATATTACTCCTGCCCTTAAATGGAAGGGGAGCTTCGGCTCACAGGGAGCTGCTCCAGGTTTTCCCGTGCCGAGAGATCCCAGGGATTCAGTCACCATCCTCTACCAGAAACACACTCAGGGCAAAATCCCACCCTAGATTGGGGAAAAAAAGCGCCTTGTCAGCCAGCAGGCAAATATATGCTCTTCCATGGGGAAAAATGACCCCTTCTGGCACGCAGATTGGGTGAGGTGCCTGTTCCCAAGTGTCTCATGGGATGGGGCCAGACCTACAGCTCCCAGGCAAGGATTAGCGAAGGACGCTGGAGCATGGGATCCCTGCAGCCCAAACCCCCTTATTTTTTATTTTTTTTTTTGACAGCTCGAGCTGTTTCGTTTCAGTTCTGCTGTACAAATATTTTCAGTTTCTTCTCGGTGGAGCATTTCTCCATCTCTCCTTCTCCTTACAATTTGAGGGGAAACCAAAGTTTTTTTTTCCAGGTCAGAAGTGCCGATGTTGGCTCTGGGAAGCTGCTGGCCATGGGTGCAGCACCTCAAAGGTGACCACCTTGATTTCCTTCCATTTCCTTCCATGGAGATGGCAGCTATGCATGAGGAGCGCTCCAGGTCCCCTTCCACAGTCCTTCTCTGCTCCTGCCACTGCACCCCACAGCTCCCAGATTTGCCAGGGCTGCTGGATCCCTCCTCTGCCTCCTCACTCCTGGTTTTGTCCCCTCTTGGCTTTTATTGTCCCTGTAGGACAATCTCTCTGCTACTCTCTCCCAGAAGCCACCTCCATCCCACTTCTGGCCCTCTCACCTCTGCATCCCACCGTCCCCTTCTGTTGTCCTTGAAATTCCATATCCCATCTGGGGCATTTAAAGGATGATGGAAAGGGTCTAGGGGGGTTTGCTGAGATGGTCAGGGCTGGAGACACACAGGGAGAGGCAGGGCCTGGGCCAAGAGGTGGCTGGGGTTGCGGAGGAGAGGAGCATGGATCAAGGATGGCCCAGCACGGAGAGATCCATGATGGAGCACTGGCAGCCCTCCTCCTCCTCTCCTCACCTTAAGCCACAAGCGAGGTTCCTGAAGGTAAGGAAGCACCAGGGAGGCATTACCCTGTCTCGGACCCCCATCGGCTGGCAGTGCCCAGGGGGATGCCGGGTGTCCCGAGGGATGCCGGGTGTCCCACCAGCACGGTCACGGTCCCCTGCCCCTATCCCTGCCCAAACCACCTCCGGTGAACGTTAACAGGCTGGGGGGGAGGCGGGAGGCATCCGGGTGATTCATCCACGAGGCATTTAATCGCCTCCTTCAGCCCGGCTCCCCGTCCGCCCGTCCGCCCCTTCCAGCGGGGCTCGCTTTAATTCTCCACCAGCCGATTATCCGCTTGACTGCCCGCCGCCGGAGAGGCACCGCCGGGCAGCCGGATCCCGGCGGGAGCGGGAGGGCGATGGCACGGGGCTGCCATGGAGCCAGGGAACAGGGCGAGCAGAGCTTCTCCCCGCACCCCATTCCCGGCAAAGCGGGGTGCTGTCGTCCCTCCCCCCCCGCGCGGCGGGGTGCATTCCGGCCCCGCCGGGATTAGTCCTGGCATAAATACTCTCTTGGCTAATGGAGCGTCTTCCTCGGCTGGGTTTAGATTCCCGGGCTGTGTGTACGCATGCCTTCAGCCCGCAAAACTCCCCGACATAAACAAGGCTGAGGCCGAGGGATGCCGGCTCCTCCGCCCGGGGAATGCGGGAGGACCGGGATCAGCCTCCGGCCTCGCCACCCCGCAGCCTCTTGTCCAGAGGGGCAGACAAACGTCCGGTGACGGACAGGAGGAGAGGAACAGCCCTTGGGGAAGAGCGAGTCCAGAGCTGCCGGGGCTGGAACGAGGAAGCGGCGGAGGAAAAGGCAGCGAGAAGCCAAGGGAGCAGATGGGGGATTGCAACAGAGCGGAGGAGCGGCGGGATCAGGAGGGGGTCACACACGACCATGTCCCGCCCAGACTTTGCTCCCAAACCGTCCGGACCCCACGCTTCAAGGGGGAAAGGAAGCAGGAGCACGGGGGGATGCGACAGAGGGGCCACGGGGGAAAATTTTATCCACTCACTGGGCGCACTACCCCCCAGATACCACCCCTGGTGTTCCCTCCCCACGCCACGGTCCCCCGGGGTGAGGGATCTGGCATGGGATGGGAACGAGGGCCACGAGCCGGGCTCTCCGCAGCCGCTCCGCTACCAAATAAGGCCTCCGCCGAGCCTTTTACATGCCGTTCTCGCCCGGCCAAAGTGACGTGACCGCCTTCCCAAATTGTTCTGGCTCCTCCGTGGGGAACCCCCTGGCTCACAGCTCCCCTGTGGGTACCCTGGGGAGGAGGCGAGAGGGATAGGGAGGCCACCCGGGATGCCAGGAGCAGGCAGGAGGAGCGGGGCTGAAGTGGGGGCTTTGCCCACCTGGCAGCAACCTCACTGATCTCCCCGGGATAGGGGCTGCTTCTCCCTCTTTTTTGGGGGGGCAGGAGCCTGGAAGGCAAGCCCTGGGAGGGGAGAGGTGCGGCGCAGTAGCCGGGCAACCCCCTTCCCCTGCGCTTAAGCAAATACTCGACAGCACCGGCTCTTCCAGCCTGGGCTCGGCAAAACTCCTCAGGGAAAGTACCTGCCTGGCACCGGAGGAGCTTGGCTTCGCAGCCGTCCCCTCCAGGGCCTCCCCATGTCCAGCATCGAAAGATCAGGGGTTCCCCAAGTGCGAGTAGTGCGACAGCCGACCCCTGGCCCCCCGGATCCAGCCGGGGGGGGGGGCACATGCCGTGCCGTTGGGGAAGGTAACAGGCCTCCACGGATGTCTCCCACTGCCACGTTCGGCCGAGCCACAGCCGCGGGACCCGGCAGCATCATCTCCCACACACCCCTCGAAGCCACGACTGGAAAACCTCCCCATTATTTAGGAAACTTTTGGAAGTTTGAGGCCAGAGCCACCTCCAGAACAAACAAATGAAGGCAGGCAACAGCGGGCCATGGAGCTGCGGTGATCCCAGCGCTGGCCATCAACCAGGGACCCCAGTACGAGCCGGCCGGGACCTGCCGGAGCAGCCCGGAGGGTGGAGAGCGAGAAGGAAGAGGAGATCCCAGATCGGAATCTTCTCGCTCTCACCCTCCCACAAGTCCAAATTCCCATCTCAAGGTCACGGGCAAAACCAGGAACTTTGCGGTTGGAACGCAGAAAGCCAGCTCTCACCGTGGCGCGGCATGGGGTTGGTCCACCGTGGGGGAGATGTTTCGGACATTTTTGGGGTGAGACCCACGGGAAGGGACGCGTGGCCGCTGGATGCGCTGCACCCACCAGCACCGGCAGCACCAGACACCGGCCCCGGGACCGGGGGGAGCCTGGTTTGCACCCCACGGCCCCGCGGAGCTGCGTGTGTCGAGTGGGGCTCCCCGCGCCCGCAGGTCCCCGCCGGGGAGCCGGAGGGGCGTTTGCGGAGAGGCCCGGGGGGATGCGGGCGGTGGATGGGGGCGTCCCTGGGAGCGGCGATGCGCTCCCCGCCGCTCATCCCCGTCCCCCCGCAGCAGCCCCGCGTACCTGGAGCCTCGTAAACCGATGAGACACCCCCCCCCGGCGAAGACCCCCCCTCCCATCCTGGGTGGATGCGTGGGCACCCGCGGAGCGCAGCCCCCGAGGATGAGGGTGGGGAGGGAGATGCCGGACCCTCCCCCCCGCCCCAAAACCCCCGTGTGTGTCCCCCCGGTACCTCCTCCTCGGGCAGGCCGGTGTCGGCGGGGCCGCTCTCCCGGTCGGCGGGGAGGTTGCTCATGGTGCGACCGGCCAGGCTCCTCGTCCCGCCGGCGGCAGCCGCGTCCGGGCGGGCGGCGCTGGAGGCTGGTCCCGGCGGCGGCGGGGGGGCCGGGGCGGGGCGGCGGGGCCGGGGAGGGACGGGGTGGGGGCGCGGCGGAGCGGAGCGGCGGGAGGCGACGCGGGCGCGGCGGGATGGAGGGGCGCGGGGTCGGGGGCACGGGAGGTGCGAGACGGGACGCGTGATGCGGGGTTTGGGAAGGCGGGACGCAGGGCTGGGGAGATGGGACGCAGTCCCAGGAACATAAGACTCACGCTGGGGACGCTGGAGGTAGGGTTGGCGACACGGGACAGAAGGCCGGGGACACAGGGCACCGGGTTGGGGATACTGGACAAGACTGGAGGCATAGGACACAGTCTAGGACCTGGGGTTGGGCTTACAGGACACGAGGCTGGGGACACAAGGCACAAGGATGGGGAGATGGGCACAGGGCACAAGGCTTGGGGACATGGGGCACTCCCAGGGACATTGGACACAGGCTGGGGACACAGGTCAAGGCTGGGGAGATGGACACAGTCCTGGGAACACCGGACACATGGCTGGGGACATGGGCCACAGTTCCAGGGACACGGCTGCATCAGGGCTGTGGGGCAGAGGAGGGGACAGTGCTGGGGACACTGGATGTAGGACTGGGGACAGTGGGGGGAGCGGTGGGGGCTGATCACCCCAAACCAGCCCCACCTGGGGGGGTCAGTCCCTCCTCACCTGGCCCCAGGGCTGCATTTGGGCTCCCTGCTTAGGCTGGGCTTTAGCTGAGCCTGCGCTGGGCCTAGCACCCTTCTCCCTTCATCCTAGAGCTTGGATTTGGGTTGTCCCAGCCCTGCACATCCCCACGGATGGGGCTGTGGTCCCAGAGGCTCGGCTCCAGAGCAGGGTGACAAAGACCCTGGGGGTGAAGCCCAGCAGCTGTGTCCAGAGCAGGTGCTGCCTGTGCACAATGCACAGGGACCGGAGTGACCCCGAGGACATCCTGCCGATGGCACGGGGCTTGTTCCAACGGGCATTTAAGGTCACAGCTTGCCTTTCTGTGCCTCAGCGGCCAAAACAGACCTGAGGGCAGCTGCCTGCATGTCCTGCTGGCTGCCTGGGGGACCCAGCCCAGCCAGCGATGGGTTTGCAGCCTCCCCACAGTGGCAATTTACAGAGCAGAACCTCTTGTGCCGGGAGGGAGATGGAAATGAGCTGTGCCAGCTGGATTTGGGGGAGCGGGAAGTGTCTGGCTACAAGGACAGGTGACCCCCAGAGGGAATCTAGAGTGCAGGAACTGATCCAGTCACTCCAATCTGCTGGAGCCTTTTGCTTTTGCGAGTGGATTCCCAGCTAAAGAGTCCTTTATCTTTGGGCAAGGGGAGAAGCTGGAGAGATGTGTTTTCCCCTTCCACGGGCATCGCCACAAAACGCTTTGTCTGGACAGCAGATGGGACAATATTCCCAACCCTTATTTGGACTCGGCTTTGGGGAAGAGCTGCAGTTCCCCGGTGGCGCTGGAACACGGCTTGGAATCACAAACCAAAAAAACTGGCAGGTTTGGATTTCTGGTAGCCATGAAACTGAACTCAGGGAGAAAAATCCAATTGGCTGTGGTGGGGGCTGCACCACTTCCATGCCTTGAAACCCCGGGTCCCAACCCAAAGCCCCACGTCCTGCAGAACTTGGGGTTTCTCTGCAGTGGTTGCTGATGCTCTCCCCTCTCTCTTTCCTACAGGAATTTCTGCTGTGGCATTGATGTCTGTCTGTGGCGGGACACACCACCAGGTTGTGTCATACAGGGAGGCTGTGATGGACGGGGGAGGTTGTGGACATCCCTCGGGAATCTGTGGGGCCAGCTAGGAAGCGTGGCGATTCCCAAGGCTCCAGTAGAGTGGCTTGGCGAGCGAGTGGAGGAGGTTCAGCTCCGTTCTGGGCCCTCTGGGAGGGAAGCCGAGCAGGAGCAGCCCTCAGGGGCAGGGACAGAGGGTGGCACCGGGTGCCTGGAGCCTTTCCCACCCCAGGACCCGCGTGGATCCGGGATGCGGGGCCAGGTCCCCCGAGCAGCGCGGGGCCACTTCGCCCTCTGGTGGCGGGAAGGGGGAAGAGCGGCGAGGTGGCACCGGGGCTGTCCCCGAGCTGTCCCCGGGGGTGACGCGGCGACACCCGCCCCGACAGCCCTTGTGTGACCCGTGCACCGCCCCCCGCGGCGCTAAAGGGCTGCGGTTCCCTCGGGCAGCAGAACGGGTGACATTTTATTCCCAAAACAAAGCGCGAACAATAGTTACTGCGGGAGAGACAACAGACCCAAACCTGGCCTGAGATTCCCGGTGGAAGATAAATAAAGGACACAAATAAGCAATAAATTGTTTGATGGAATGAGGATCACAGAGACCGGATACTTCCCGGAGTGTGTAGTGCTTCCCAGGACCAAACACCCGGCCAGGCACCGGGAGCAGCAGGCAGATGCTCAGCTCTTGACAGGGGTGGACGTGGCCTTCATGGTCTTCTTCAGGTGGTGGTAGTTGGGCAGGATCTTCATCAGGAAATCCAGCTGCAGCGTCTGGGGCTGGAAAGGGAGGCAGGGGAGATCAGGCAGCAGCCCGAGGGGGAGAGGGGGTGCGGGTGTGTCCCCCCGTGTCACACACCCACCTGCGGCCGCTCGGTCTGCACGCGCCGGAGGCAGTCGGCCCCGTAGATGACGGTGTTTTCGGGGATCACCTCGTAGGTGTTGATGTTACAGCAGGCCCCGATGATGCAGCCGCTCGTCAGGATCACGTTCCTGCCAACAAATGCTGCCAGAGAGGGAGGGGGAGAGAGGAATCCCTGTGAGAGTCGTCCCCCGCAGCGTCTACGGGAGCAAAATCTCACCGGGGCCAAAGATGATGAGCCGAGACTTACCTTTGGATTCGATGACGTTGTTGTCTCCCACCTTCATTGCTTGGGAATCTACAGGTCTGTGCTAAGTAAAACTGTAAAATGCTTGGCTTTTATTTCAACAGGTAAAACCCTGATGCCATTTCCGAGCCAACACCCAGCACTGGGATGTTTGAACATGGACAGAGCCCACACCTGCCTCCCCCCCGTATCGGTGTGGAAGTGCGGTGTATCCGTCACTCCACAGCAAGGATACAGCACCCAACCTCAAAAACATTGTTGGTGCCGATGACCATGGGTTTGGGCTCCACATCTTCAGTCTCTGGGGTAATATTTTCTGGATAGCTGCAAGAAGGAAGAACAGATTTCCCCGTCAGAGATCACAACTCAGCAACGTCCTGTTTGGCAGCTCAATTTCCTGACAGACTGAAGCCATGTACATCCCACCCAATCCAGCTGGACTGTCAGAGTTTTGACACTGCTTAGGATTAGGATCCTTCTCCTCTGTCAGCTGGAGAAGGATTCACAGGGAGGACTTAGCAACCTTCCAGTATCTGAAGGAGGCCTACAGGGAAGCTGGAGAGGAACTCTGCGTGGAGAGGAACTCTTAGTGACAGGACAAGAAGTATTGGGTACAGATTGAAAGAGGGGAAATTTAGGTTAGATATAGGGAAGAAAAATTCTTTACTGTCAGGGTAGTGCGATACCAGAACATGTTGTCCATCCAGGGCACTTGTGGCTGCCCCAACCCTGGAAGTGTTCAAGGCCAGGGTGGATGGGGCTTGGAGCGGCCTGGTCTAGTGGAAGTGCCTATGCCTAGTGCCTACGGCAGGAGTGTGGAAGGAGATGATCTTTAAGGTCCCTTTTGGAAGGTGCTTAGCATCCAATAATTCTATGATTCCATGACTTCTTCCCAAGCCACAGTGCCACGGACATACACGAAAGCATGACAGTTTGGGATTTTTTATTTTTTTTTTAAATAAATTCTGCCTCCCCAGGGGTTTTAAGCCCACCGACGCCCCGGTGACCCCCCCGCCCGGTGCGGCACGGACCCGTTGATGATGAGCGCCTGCTCCTCGATCAGGTTCCCTTCCCCGATGACGATGGGCCCTGCCTCGGCGATGATGCGGGCCTTGGGGTGGATCACGGTCCTGGGCCCTGCGGGAACAGCGCCGCGTCACCCCGGGGCTGGGGGGGCTGACACGGGCCGGGGTTTGCGGGGGGGGCACAGCCCTTACCGATGGTCACGTCCCCGCGGATCTCGCTCTCCACGCACACCACGGCCCCCGGCGCGATCTTCACGCTGCGGGCAGGGACGGGGCGGTCACGGGCGAAGGGGATCCGCCGAGAGCGGACGGACGGGGCGGCGATGCGGGGAGGGGACGGCGCCTCCCGGGGGTGTTTTGAAGGGATCGGGGGGGTGATCGGGAGGGAGGATCGGGACTCACCTTTTCTGCGCCTTCTCCGCCATGGCCGCTCCGGGCGCCTGCGCGGGGCGGGGCACCGGGGGACGGGCGGGGCACCGGGGGACGGGCGGGGCCGCCCCGGCTGTGCCGCCCCGGCTGTGCCCGTCACCGCCCGCACGGATCCTGGAACCAACAAATCGCGCATTTTGGGGGGGCTCAGAAACGGAGACAAAGTCCCGTGGGTTTTTTTAGTTGGTTTTTTTTTTTTTTTTTTTGGGGGGGGGGGAATGGTTCGAAGTCCTGCGTTGTTGGCGCTTGGAACCAGTCCCAGCTGGGCACTCTTAGGGCAGCGAAAGGGAGACTCGAGTCCTGCTTCGGGAGTTTTAAGGGTTTGATGGCAGAGCCAAAATCCTGCGGTTTTGGGGGCTCAGGATGGGTGAGGGGGCGGGGGCGAAGCCACAAGAGGGGCGGGGCGGGCCAGTGGAAGGATTGGGGAGAATTTATTTCCGAAGTCGAGAACACCTGACATCTCGGTACAAATCTGCAACGGGACTAGGAAAAGACGCACCCCCTGTTCTTGTCAGGGCTTTTATTATCCCTGCTCCCCCCCCCCCCCCCCCCCCCCCCCCCCCCCCCCCCCCCCCCCCCCCCCCCCCCCCCGCCGTGGGGTTCTTCAAACGTGTGTGCAAGAACTTATCTTCTCTCGTACCCGGGAGTGAGCTCCTTTGGAATGCAGGAAGAGAAGACACCTAAAAATTTATCTCTGGGAAACATGACTTTTTCCAGGCAGGACGCTTCCTTAAGCGAAAAACCCTAATCTCCTAGTAAAATCTTTCAAAAGGATCTTCTACAGTTACAACCCCTCTCTCCTCATCCCCGCCTCCCTCTTTCCCCGCAGCCGCGGGGTTCGGGACGCCGATTAAAAAAGCCTAAAGGGCCTTGAGTCCACCACGGGGCCGGGACCGCTCGGCGGGTCCTCCTGTGGAGTCCACAAACACCGCCCGACACCGCTGGCGCTCCGGCCCGTCCCGACATAACACATGGGGCTCCGGGGACGGGTTCGGATTTGGGGCAAGTCCTGCACGTGTGGTCTCAGAAACAGACCTCGCGATCTCCAGCGCCTCCAAACAGCTGCCTTTGGGGAACAAAATCCGGGAACTGCGGTCCCGGCGCGCCCCGAGGGCTGTTCCTGCAGTACCGGGCGGGTTTCGCCAGACGGCGCCACCGAGCCCGTTGGTGCCGCAGCCCCGCCCCGCTCCCCCCGCCCCGCAGGTGCCGCGCAGGGACCGCCCCGGCCCGGCCCCGCCCGGCCCCGCCCGCAGCCCTTTTACCGAGCGCCGGCGGGGCCGGGGGAGGCTTTGGGGTGTGCGGGTCGGGAGGGGCCGGGGAGTGCCGTGTCCGTGTCCGTGTCCGTGTCCGAGCTGCCCCGTCGTGATCCCGGGTGTCCGTGCCCGGCAGGGCCGTGTGTGCGCAGAGACCTTCGGGCACCCGCGGCACGGAGGGTGCGGAGCTCGGCCCGGGGTCGGCCCGGGCTGTCCCGGCTGCGGCTCCGGCCGGGGGGGCTCGAGCGGCCGCCCCCGGGCCGTGCCGGGAGCTCGGCTGTGCCCGGGCCGGGGCCTCTCCCGGAGGGATGTGCGGCACGGCGGGGAAAGCGCCTGGAGCTTTGTGTTGTGTACGCGAGTGTTTTCCCCCTGTCTTTGCACAGGTTCAGCTCTGCGGGAACTGCCCGGGGGGCTGCCGGCCAGAGCCGCCCGAGGATGGGGCTCCCCCCGAGCACGGGGCAAGCGCAGCCACCGCTGGGACCGGGTCAGCCTGCGGGAAGGTTTCCTGATTGCTCCCGTCCCCAGAGCAGCTGTGCCTCGTTCCCAGAGGTCCCGCCTGGGCAAGCCCGGCTCAGCACAGCGCCAGGAGAGGCTGCACGGGAGGACGAGCCCGGCCAGGGGCAGGACACAGCCCTGCCCCGGGAGAGGTGACACGGCGGTGGATGTGCGGGGAGTGCTCTGACACGGGCTGGGCTGGGGGGTCTGTGCTGGGGGTGTGCGGCAGGGTTGGGCCCCTCGTGGCTTTGCGGAGGGGAGAGCGCCTTGGCCGCTGGGTTATGGACCGGGGGAGCCGGGGGGCGTTTAGGGGCGCCTTGTGCTGGGCAGCGGGGGCCGGGTAAGCCCCTTCCCTGCCGGGTGACCCCGGGGGGAGCCGTGGCAGGGCTGCGGGGCTGGTGCTCTCTGGGTGTCTCAGGGTTTGTCCCGGAATCCCAAAGCCTTTCCCCGTGCAGGGTTACAAGGCAAAGACTGATCTCCCTTAGTTTCTTGGTGCTGCGTTAATGCTTTTTGCTCGTTCTGTGTCAGTTTGCAGCCTGGCTCGTGGTTTCCCCTGGTGCTGGGGAGTGGAGGCGAGTTGTGCTTCCTGCTGGGAGAGAGAAGGGCCTTGGGAAGCTGCTCCATGGCCCCACAGCTGTGCCGAGCCTGGGAGTCTGTCCAGGTAAGAGCAGGGCTTATACTGCCAGTGAGGAGCTGGGTTCTGCTGTTGGAAGACAGAATATGCCCGTGCCTTTAAATGCAAGGACAGGCAGAAGCTGGGAGGGACACTGAGCAGGTCTTAAAAGAGCTTGATTGTGGGAGAAGTGTCCAGGAGAAATGGTTCCTTTTTTGCATGGAGGCAGTCTGCAAGGACAGGGGGGTTGCTGTGCTCTCTAGCAAAAATACTGCCCTTGGGATGTGCAGGGTGAGGAAATGTTGGCCCCGTGTGGGCTGGAGCAAAGGTGTGTGGGTGGCTGTGTGTGACAGCCGTGGGTGTGCAGGAAGGGGGTTCTGGTGCCATTGGAGCTGCCAGGGAGCCAGAAAGGGCACAGTTGTCTGAAAAAGGTGCAAGCTCTGTTGGCCTCTGTTGACACCTGCACCAAAGGAGATGCAAATTTTTCCCCTCTTGGTTGCAGACTTGACAAAGCTCCCAGGAAAGGAAGTTTTAGATTCCAACTCACCTTTATGCTAAAGGTTTCCTTGCTCTCTCAGCAGGATGTGGAGTGCCACCGTGTCCCTGAGGTCACCCTTTCTGCTGTTGGGAGAGCATGAGGTGGATGGAGAGGATACCCAGGCATCTGCAGGCACAAGGGACTGGTACAACTGCAATTTTCCTCCAGATCTCATAAGGTGGACTTTGAGGGTACCATGGGTAATGTGCCAGCTCTCCTGCTGGAGTGTTTGTCTTCTGCTATATTTGAACACAAAGAGTAAAACTAAAGTCAGGTCTGTTCTGGAGTATGTTACACTCATGCAAAGCTCCTTCCCTCTGTTTATTTTCTGTTCTGAAAAGCACAGTCTGGGGTTCCTGGGCACTTCCTATTAAGTGATACCATGAAAATAATGTTGTACTGAAAGGGGAAAGGAGCTGTCTGTGGGAGGTCAGATGTCCCTGATAAAAGCTATCTGTTATTCAGTCAGTAAGCTCTTAAAATATATTACAGCGTGCAGGAATGCCTGGCTTCTAAAACTCACAAGCTGAGACTTAGAGGTTTCTTTGAAGAGCTGAGTTCAGGCAGCAGAATTGCCCCCCCAGGAGGGACTCTGTGCCTGCTCTCCCGTGGCTCCAAGGGATCTCTGGCCCTTCACGCCGGCACCGAGATTTTCTCGGGAAGGGCCTCAGATCCCCGGACCAGTCTGGGACACAGGCAAGATCCCCCTGCCTTTAGAAATGAGGCCTTCTTGTGGCTTCCTCCCCGTACCCGTTGGTGGGTTCCAAAAAAGGACTCTTGAAATGCCTTTTGGGCTGTCCATGGCAAGCTTGAGACCAAATTGGCCCCCTGGAGGGACAGTGCTGTGGGTGCCCCCCGGGTTGGGGCACCCCGAGGACTCCAGCGCGCACCGAAAGGATTATTCGGGGAGATCCTCGGGGTGCCCGGCCCTGGGGAGCTCAAAGCAAGGTCCCTGCAATGGATTCAGGCATTGCTGAGAGTATCCCAGGGGTCCCTGTCCCTGCTATACATGGAGCTCTCTAATGGACTGTAATTGGGTGATAAAAGTGGTGCTCCAAGTGCAAAGGAAGTGTGGGATTGGGATTAAGAAATGAGCAGTGATGGTGCAATTGGCTGTTTTCTCTGGAATGTAATGGTAAGAGCTGCAGGAGTGCCAGGTGTGTGTTCCAGTCCCCAGCATTTGGTTTGCACCTGTCCTGGTCAGACACAAGTCCAACTTCCTCAATCCTTAACATAATAGAGAGAGAATTAAGGATTGGCAGTGTTAAGGTGATTGGTGTGATAGGGGTCAAACTGGGAAAACATTGGGGAATTCCTCAGTCTGTCTCTTTGCCAAACTCACCCAAACCTGTGCTAGGAAGGGATTGATTGGAAAAGTTGAGGCAGCAATGAAATTGGAAACTGAAAATATTGATACTGTAATTGCTGAAACTAAATGTGTCAAAGCAGCAGCTTTTGTTGTGCAGGGAATAACTCCTGTCAGCAGCAAGGTCCCAACTGAAGTGGCAGCTGCAGTTGTTCCTGTGGTGTGGGCCAGTGGACTTCCAGGAGAGTGGAAGAGGGCAGGACCTGTAGGTATTACCCCTAATGTGGGATCTCTATGGGTAAGGCAAACCCAGTATCCTTTAAAATCAGAATGCCAGCTTGGATTGGATGCAGTAACAGCTAAATTGGCTCCTCCTGGTTTGCTTGTAGGACATAAATGCAAGAACCTGCCAAGAAAACCAATGTCAAAGGGGATTGATTAGTGCAGGACCTGAGAGAACCTCCTGAAATGACAACCTCGAGGAGTTTCCAGTATTGGATTGAAAAGATGGCCTTTGCTGCATCTCCTTGAGCAAGGAAAGCCAAGAAACCTTTGCTTTGGAAGGAGAAAATCTGGAAAGCGGGAAGGAAGAAAGGAAGCCCCCTGACTCCTCCCTGAGCCCCAGACAGCCCATGAAGTGCCTTGCTGGGAATGGTAGGATGGGCTGGACTCTGGATTGCTCCCTCTGGATGTGTGGTAAGACTGTTCTGCCAACTTTTCCAACAGCCTGTAAGCATTTGCTGCCTTGTCTAGATGGTGCAAGGGCAGCCTTTAAGCAGCTGAAGCATTCCCTGAGGAGAGCTCTGGGTCTGCCAGATGTCTCAGAAGTGTTGGAAGCATCTTTGGTGGGGAGGGCAAACAAAGGACAAGGTGTGCAGTGACCCCCCTGAGAAGGGACTTTGAGTTAATGGCATCCCTGCAAGTGAACTTTGTGGGCTGTTCCCCCTGTAGGGCAGGTGATAGTCCCAGCTACAGTGATGGGGAAAATGGTTAAAAGGGAGCCCCAAAAGCTGGAAATTTTCCTGGAGGCTCTTGGCAAACAGAGTTTCCTGAGTTAGCCCTACAAGAAGGACAGTGACAGCTTTTGAGTGCTGGTAGATCCTTTGAATAGATAGCCTTGAGTGTGTCCTTGTTGCACCAGCAGGCCTTGTCAAACTCCTTATATTCCAGGAAATATGCATATTGAACTTTAAAATGATCTTCCTAATCCTTTGTTGTCTTGAGGCTCTCCCCTCAGGAACTCCAGGAACTCCTGGTGCCGCCTGGGCCGATGGATTGGACGCCCCAGCCCCTCCGTTCCTGCCCAGCCCCTGGGTCCGTGTCCAGTGGTGGCAGTGCCAGCCCTGCAGGTGAAGTGGGAAGGGCCTTTGCAGGTCTTGTGGGTCACATTTATGGCAGCTGAAGTTGCAGAAAAAGGACCTGGGGTCTATTATTCTTGAGTTCAGAAAGCTCCTTTTGGTTGGTGAGCAGGACAAAGTGGATCCTTCAGAGTTCCCACCCGTGTTTGTGTCTCAGCCTGTGTTAGGATTCAGGGCTGTAGCTGTTGTTGTCACTGAGGAGTCAAACTCTGCTTTAAATCATGAGACATTGACCTGATGGCCCAGTGTCAGGAAAAAAGTGGGAATGATACCTGAGTGTTGAGATGTAACAAGAGCTGATCCTTTTTGCAGTGGGATGTAGCCTGAAAAGTGCACAGAGCTGAGCCCAGGGATTGAAAGGGACCAAGCAAGGGAGGTGAAGAAAGAAGGAAGAAGGGAAGTGAGGCAGCAGGCAAGCAGCACCAAGTTGCTGTGTAAGCAGGTGAGTTGTGTTGAGGTTCCTCAGGCAGGCCCTGAGGACTTTGAGGGCTCCAGACAGAGCAGACCTGGGAAGGCCCTCGGTGAAGCC